TACTGGCCAAAGGTTTGTGCTTGTTGCACACCAGTCTTTGAAAATTGAAATCCCATATTTCCTGTATAACAATTTGCCAAGTAGGACTGTTAACTGCAAAGCTTTTTATATTCATATCAAAATAGAATGATTTAAGAGATCAAATCAATTATAAATTTATCAAGAATTTTGCTAACAAGTGTTATTAAAACATTCAAACTTTATATGTATACACATATATATATATATATATATATATATCCTAGTGATTAGACTTATTCATGAGAGTCTGGTTTAATTTTAAAATATTTTAAAATAATAAAATTTTTATATTTTCATATGTTTTAAAATATTTAAATATAAATATTAAATAAAATAGAAAAGCAAAGAAGTTAATTAGGCACTATTTATCTTGTGAAACTGCAGCTTATTAGTTATTAATTAGCAACCCCACCACACAACCATTTGGAACTAATGGTATAGTTGAAATTGAGATCAATTATAATTCTCTTTTACCATAATATTACAATTAATCAATTATAATAAAAATTATATAAAAATCTATTACTTAAAAATATAAACTCCACATATTTTTTAAAAAAATTTATATAATATTAAAATATAATTAATTAAGTATATAAATAATATGCTCCGTGGAAGTTGAAGTTCAAATTTGGAGGAGTTGAATCATCACATCTTGAAACATTGTAATGTGGATGATAATTAATAAATTAAGAAAAAAAAATAAAAGGGTTAAAATATTGGAAATTTCATCACCCATTGTGAAAGATGAAACGTTTAATTGAACAACCTTAGCATAATCGCAAGCTATAGAATTGGGACTGACTTTGGACTAATTGTTGAAACCATTTTTTTAGAAAATTTGACTGTGTGTGGAAAGAAAGCAATATCAGACAAATTGGCGGCTGATAAATTTAGTGAAATTTGTAGTCAAAATAATTGAAAATAAAAATACCCAAACGTGTTCATTTCATCTGGACAATATGACAAATGCTTTCATAATTAATATTAAAAGTCAAGCCAACCCACTTGTCTTGATTCAGCAAAAGTTGCGGTTAGATGGTTTTAGAATTTATAGAAAAGTTAACAAAATATGCGTGTTCAACTCCGAAAAAATAAACGGTTAATGGTATAAATTATTATAAATTATAATAAAATATTTAACATAATATTTAAATTTTAAAAATTTTTAATATGATATTTAAATTATGAATTTTAATTAATATATTATTTATTTTTAATGTGATTTATTTTAAATATGATTATGATGAATAAATAATTTTTTAAATATTACATTAACTAATAAATTTATAAATAAAGTATCACATTAAAAATTTTTTAAATTTAAATATTATATTAAATATTTTATTATAATTTAAATATCATTCAAGATGTGAACCCAAAAATAAAAACAAAAATGGGTTTTGGCAGTTGAGGTTCTCACTAATATATTTGATATTTACTTTTAATTAATTTAAAAGAAATTAATTAATCTTAATAAACAAGCAGTCCAAGAACTCTTGCAGTAACATTAATATTAACAGAGGGATTAAAAAGAATACATTTCCACTCAATTTAGAAGAAAACTATGAAGAAAGAAAGACATTAGATTTTACGGGAATAAGATTTAGGATTTTTTTATGAATTTATAAATAATAATATTATATTTATATAAAAAAATTATTAAATACAAATAAAAATGAATCGACTAATCAACACATAACTAAATAAATATATAAAAATAAATCTCACTAGTTAAAGGTAAGATAATAAAATTTGAATAAAATAAAAGCAAGCCGTTCTTCTTCTTCTGCATACGATAGCGTCAATTGCTCCTTGGTTGGATTACAAATAAAGCGAAATTAAATTTTAATTTTTTAAGAGCATCTTAATTTATTAATTCAATGTATTAAAATTTATACAATTCAAATGTTAACTGCAGCATTTAATAAAATAACATTATTATAAATAATATTTTAAATAGTTTTAAAAAATGTTTTTAAATGCTCATTTAGCAAAATCCATTTAATTATTTTAACCAATATTTAACACTTTCCAACAAGACTCAAATATTTAATATACATTAAATGAATTATAAAATATATATCTATTTGTATACAACTGTCATAAAATATTGGATTATTTTTAATTTTTGGGATCCAAGCTAAAATTTTTATAATATAACGTATTAAAAAAAATTTAAGAAAATTTAACTTTTTTAAAAACTTTTTATATTTAGATTTAATAATTTGAATATTTATATTATATTTTATATAAAAATTACATTTTATAATTTATATCAATATCAAAATATAAAATATTTTATTTTATTAAATTTATATATAATTATAATTATAATTTTAAATTATATTATTTTTATATTTTATTTATAATATATCATCGTATCTTAAATTTACTTACATTCCGATTTTCACTCGACGAAAAATTAATTGTGCAGACGAATATGAAATTTATCATTTATCACGCTTTAATTGGAAGCCCCTTGGTGTTGTAGGTGATCCACATTTGTCCTTTTTTATCGAATTGACTGCCATTTTAATTACCAGCCAATGCCAAACTGCCACATTGCACGACGAATGGACATTCCCGACATTTGAAAAAAACAGCTTTTTTTTCCTTGGCTACTGCAAAGTCAAGCAACTTTATGTCATGGATGACGTGGAGGCCGATCAGGAAGTTGGCGACCCGGGTCCCAAGACAAGACGAGAGGTGCTGACAACCATTCAGTGTCTAACAGTTCATTGGTCCGTCACAGTATTTAGCATCTTTGACTGTGACACAGCCCACGCGTTTTCTTGTAACGGCCACCGAATGTAAAGCGGTAAAGATGATGGAGCCACGCAGGAAAACTATCCAACTCCACGGTTGTAACATGTAAGTATTTATTTATTAGAGAAATTGAGAGTGTGGCACAAGACAAAAAAGAAGTGAAACAAGTGGGAAATAGGGCGGTTTCGGCTCTTGCCCAGCAACTTCGTTTATCCTTATCCGGGTAGACCGTTGACACGTCAATGTTTGAAATGATTCGTAAAGTTTTGAAATTTAGGTTCCCGTTCTTTCCGGGGGAGATCATTCGCCGTCTACAATACCATTGTCTACGCACCTGTCTTTACTTTTTTTTTTCCCCCTTTTTTTGGCGATTGGAAAATTTGTCAACCAGCACTTAGGTATTTTAGTCTAAGGATCCAACAATAATTGAAAAAGTGTACATGTTTCAGTATTTTTATTCATAATAAACATAAATATGATCTTTTACTTTGTTTTATTCAACAAATGCAAAGTTTCACGTATCAAAAAGATAAAATATGATTTAGTCAAAAGCAATAATTTTTAATTTTAATGATCATAATTTAAATTTTAATAATTTTAAATAAAAATATAATTCATGTTAGTGTTATTATAGATCATTTTATCTATAATGATTACAGTATAAATAATTAATTAAAATTTATAATTATATAAAATTTATCAAAATTTAATATAAACTCTACACTTATAAAGGATAAATCTTTATATAATTTTTTAGTATGATTATATAATTATAAAATTATAGTAAAAAAATTATTAGTGATATACTCCTATATTATTAACATGTCACCCTATAATTTAAATATGTAGACTTAAAAAATCATCTTTAGAAGAGATAGCTCGAATCTCAAATTCTATAAATAAAATTATAATTATAATTAAATATTGCATTTATATATAAAAAATAACAAATAATTCATCCAACTTCTTATAACATAATTAGATAAATTTAATATAAAAGTGAATCAAACGCACACATAATAAAATTTTAAGATTTTAAGATTTGTATAAATACTTAGACTTTTGCACATATACATTGTATGTTTGACCACATAAATCAAAGTCAAAGATTTTTATTAAACTTACCAAAAACTGGTGATCTTTATATATTTCTTTCTTCATAAATATAAATCGTTAAAGTGTTATTTGTCATTTAGTTTTTAATTAAAATTTTTAAGTACAAATTGGCGATTGGAGATGATATTATTAAAAACAATAAACTATCTATAATATATAAATGTTTATATTAATAATCTATTAGTCGAGTAGGTAAGGAAAGAATTTCTTTCCTTATTTTTATGTATTTGATCATTGTGAAGAGTATTGTGAAAAGTAAAACTCTAAATACATCTTATTAATATAAAGAGATACATTCTTAAAATCATCTAAAAAAATTAAATTAAGACAAAATTTGAAAATATTCATGATCATCTTATAAAAAATAAATTAAGGTATGTTTAAGAAAAAAATAAATTCCATGTTTATCACAAAATATGAACTTGAATATATGTTAAAAAAAATATATTAGTATGTTGTATATATAAAAATATCAAATTTCATGTGTTTTTTTTTTGTTTTTTCACATTAAAAATCTAATGTAATACTAGTATAACTAATTAATTACATTTTTAATTTAATAATAGTATTTCCGTTTATCACGTCAACTTTACACGGCGCACAGTTGCAGAGAATCTTGCCGAGTCACAATAGATCTGTAGTTGATGGTGATGACCAAACAAGGGAGCTGACGTGTAATACTCAACTACCGTTAAAACTATCGGCTCAAATTTTAATAAAACCAAACGAGAAAATAAAATATTAAATAATAGTACAATAAGGGAGGTGGGGAAAAAACCACGCCTACCCCACACGAATCACGATTCACGACGACCATTTGGGATTCCTGTTTGTGTTCTGAGATTGGGGGTACCTCCGTCCAAAACTAATGGCGTAAGCAGTGACAAAATCACCCGCATGTGGGATGTCGACACGCACGCACTTCACTTCCATGACGTTCACGTGTACCGTTTCACGCTCCTATCACTCGATTCACCTCCTTCTCTCTAATTAAAAAAACAGCGAAAATCTTATCACCCACGTGTATTCTAGATGAACCACCGTCTCTCCTGCCACGTGTCCCGCTTCGTCTCTTCTATAAATTCCTCGTTCTCCCCTGTGTTTTAAGTTTCAAGCGCCGTCACCACTTAGAAGAGCAAAGAAGAAAAGAGGGGTGAGGGTGAAAATTCGCTTGACGTTTAAAAGGGTAAAAAATGACGGCAACTGTGTTACAGTTACCACCTGGCTTTCGGTTCCATCCAACCGATGAGGAGCTGGTGATGCACTATCTCTGCCGTAGGTGTGCGTCACAGCCGATCGGCGTCCCTATCATCGCCGAAATCGACCTTTACAAATACAATCCATGGGAACTTCCTGGTAAGCTTTCTTTCTATAATCTCCCATCCTAATAAACCTTTCCTTTTTAATGTGTATTTATCTGATTTGTGTTTTACTTTGAATTTACAGATTTGGCCTTGCACGGAGAGAAGGAGTGGTATTTCTTTTCTCCGAGGGAGAGGAAATATCCAAACGGTTCAAGGCCGAACCGGGCAGCTGGGTCTGGGTACTGGAAAGCAACCGGAGCTGATAAGCCGATTGGGCAACCGAAACCGGCCGGGATTAAGAAGGCTTTGGTATTTTACTCTGGGAAAGCACCTAAAGGCGAGAAAACTAATTGGATTATGCACGAGTACCGGTTAGCTGACGTGGACCGGTCTGCTCGCAAGAAGAACAGCTTAAGGGTACAAAAACTTTTTCTCGTCACCGGCTTAGAATATTAAGGGTAAATCGGATATTTACTTGCATGACAGGAGTTTGGACTGGGACGTGGAGGCCAATATGACCGTTTAGACCCTGTCATTCTTGTAAAATTGCCAGCTGGGGTTTCCGCCCCTCCTCTTTTTTATTTATTTCCACAAAAGAGGGATGATTGGTGAATCGTGTGACTAAGCTAAGGATGGTTCTATCTACCTCCATCGACCAACCTTACGATTCAGAAAAGATCTTTCCAATCGTGTGGTCGAAATGCATCCTGGTTTCAGATTCACCAAATATTGGGACCCATATGAAGGAACAATTTGTCCTTGACAGAGTTGTCCATTAAATGGTTTTACACCTCGTGCACATTCAATAACTCCCTTAGGACTGTCAAAACAGATTTAATCTTAGATTCATTTTACGTCGGGACCGTGACAGAGATTGATTAGTTATAATTATTACTTTCCCAGGAAAGAAAATCTCGACAAACTATGAAAACAACATTAAATTCAACGATTTAACATTCGAAATCAATAATTATTATTAGATAGAATTAATCAAACGGTGGGTTTTGTCTTATGCAGTTGGACGATTGGGTTCTGTGCCGCATTTACAATAAGAAAGGCGCCATCCAGAAACAACCACCGCAAGGAAGCGTTGCGAAAAAAGCTAGCGTAACGGAGATTGAGGACAAGAAGCCAGATATTGAGGCACTTGGCATGGGCTCTTGTGGTCTTACTCCGGCCTTGACGGGAACGGTTAACGATTACGTGTACTTCGACACCTCAGAGTCTGTTCCCAGACTACACACAGACTCTAGCTGTTCGGAGCACGTGGTGTCGCCCGAGTTCACGAGCGAGGTTCAAAGCGAGCCCAAATTGAAGGACTGGGAAAGTACCAAAAACAATGCCCTTGACTTCTCTTATAATTACATGGATGCCACTATGGATGCCGGATTTGCTACCTATTTCCATAGTAATAATCAGTTGTCGCCGCTCCAGGATATGTTCATGTACCTGCAGAAGCCGTTTTAGAGAAGGAAGGAAAAAAAAAAAAGAGCGGGTTGAAAATTGAACGGTGACGGTGAACTGCTATTTAGCGGATCGCTGGGTAACACGAGACTGAAAGTCCATGAGTGTACCCGTGCGCGTGCGCGAAGATAATAACAAATTAAAAGATTGAAATTGGTTGATAGGATGCGATTGCGGTAGGGAGGCCGTTGGGATTATTACGATGGTTATGGATTGTGATCGGACGGTGGAATTTGGATTTTATGCAATGTAGAAAGTAGAGTTTAGCATAGGCATGTGTACAGATAATCTGTTATCACGTTGTTTAGTGGTGTGTGTAGATGATAAAAGAAAAAACATAAAATGTTTTTTAGGAGGGTCCTTTTACTTAAGGGCTTTTCCACAAAATTATTGTATTTTGTAGTAGAAAAAAAGATTTATTTTTCATTCAAAGGCTTATTAGTTTGTTAATTGCCAATTGAACCATCCAAAGCCAATTTGGCATCCTACTTTTCAATACATGCTTTTGTTATTTTAACATTTTTTGCCTTTTTTTGCTTTATTTTTATAAGGTGAAATAGATTTTTTTTTTTAACAAACTAGCGCCGTAAAAAATGAGGGGGAAAATTGGTTTCATTGTTTAAATTAAAATTGGTTTCATTGTTTAAATTTTATTTTTTTTCCCAGGACTTTACATTTGGGAATTATGATTTTCAGAATAATTTTTTTTCAAAATTGTTTTTAGTAATGATACTCCAATTTCAACAACCCTAAAGCAAAAATTGAATGGTAGATCATAAGATTGAAAAACAAGACTCAACAATATCGACTTTGGGAATATAATTAAATGAAGCAAAGAAATTTGAACTTTCGGAACAGATATCACTTTCGACCAGTTAGGCAATAGTCACTTTCAACAAAAACAAAATAGTTCTTCAAATTAATGAATTACACAAAACAGATCGACTTTTGTGTTCTCTAAAAAAAAAACCATTTTTTATATTTGGTGGTATTTATTTATTTATATTAAAAAAATTCTATCATTCACATATAATTAATGTTATATTGATATATTTAATACTTAAAAACTCTCAAATAATTTGACAATAGAAATTTTTTTTTTTTTGGTATTTGAACCGATATTAAATTTTTCCTTAAAATTAAAAATTTATCATTTTACCGATAAACAGCATAGATCTAAAAGTAAGAAAACAAAATGAATAAAAAACAATGCTTTGATTGAGAAATTATTGAATTGGAAAAACGAATAAATAGCAAATATCGATATTTGAAAATGACAGGTTGGTGCGTTAATCTTGCAATAGAGCAAGTTGTTATAAAACGTATCTATAAATAGAGTTCCATGATTTGCAAATTTGTAATTTCATTGGTAAATTTTATAAAATAATGAAAAATCTCTGGGCTCTCATCGAGGCAGTACTCTCTAATGTCCATTGGCCTTCGTATTTGATGCCTAGAATTTTTAGACTCGGAATTCCTTAGAAAAGAAGCGTTGGTTCATAATGGACTCTCAGAGAAGGAAACCATCTCTCGCTTCATTAGCTTTTCTTGTCTGAACCCAAAATATTGTTGGGCTTCCTGTCCCTTAAATTAAAAGGAGCATTAACCTTTGAATCTTGAAGTGTTCTAAAGATATTGATTCAAAATGAAATCAAGACTAAAAAGAATTCGAGCATTTGATTTAATGATAAGTTTATGTATATTTCAAGTGTTTGATTTAGGTCTTGTTTGGAGAATGACTCTAATGTGTTAAAAATTCATTCTCATAATATCGAAGCCTGTTACTGAATGGACATTTTAATGCTAAGTTTATATATCTTGTTGATAGTATGTTTCCCCACTTCTCTAGAAGAGAAAAAAAAAGGGGGTTTTAAGAAGTTCCAAATTCCAAGCTCCTCAAATTGTCATCACCCATAAGCTTGAAACATCTTCCCTATAAATCAAACAAAGTTTGGAAACATAACAAACGAAGCTTAAATTATTTACAATAAGATGCAATCAAACATTCATTCCCTTGAGGCTCACAAACGAGTTGGTCGCTGGCAGGTACAATAGGGCAAAGATGAAGAGAAAAAAATAAAATAAAATGAAAACCAAATTTTTTGGTACAATGATTTATGCTCAAGATCTAGGATCCATGGACTAGATAGAGTGCCTGGATTATGTTTTGCAAGGTTGGTTTTGCTTTGCCAATATGATATTTAGCATCTCCCTTCCATCCCCCATGTGATTGATAAACAAAAAAAAGTCTTCAGAGCCATAAACAAACACATATTTAATAAGGCAGGAAATGACGTCGTCTCAAGCGTCATTCAATTGACAGCCTCCAATTATTCACAAATGAATGCTTTTTCAGTATAAAATAATGGGGAATTCTTAAGATTTGCATGCATGCTAATTGTTAAGGCTCAAATTTCTCGTATTACACTAGGCTATAAATTATCGGCAAAAAAATAAATAAATAAATAAATATTAGGTCATAAACTTAATATATCGTCTCTAAACTTGTTTATGGACCGAAGTTTGAATAAATATTTTTAAATTTAAATATAATAAGATAAAATCTTAATCAAATTTTGAATTTGAATATACTAAAATGAAACAAAAAAATTTTAACTTTCCAAATCGACCTGTTAGGCAATAGTCATTTTGAACAAAAACAAAATAGAACTTCAAATTAATAAATTACATAAAATAGATCCACTTTGGTTTTATCTAAAAAAATATAATTTTTTATATTTGGTGGTATTATTCCTTGTATTTGTTTATGTTGAAAATTTCTATCATTCACATATAAATAATATTTAATTGATATATTAAATACTTAAAAACCCTTAAAAAATTTGACAATTTATTTTTTTTTATTTGAGCTTAGATTGAATTTTTCACTGAAATTAAAATTTTAATATTTTACCTATTAACTCATGACCTTTGATGAGCATAAACAAAAGATTTCTTTGTTTCACAAAAAATGATTTTTGAAAAATGATTTTTACATTTTTAAGTATTTGTTTGACAAAAAACTTATTAGCTAATAGAAAATGAGGTAATTTTTTTGAAAAGTATCATACTCTTTTAAAAAGAGAAAGATAACTTCTGAAAAAGAGTTATTTATGACTATAAATATTTATCAATATGTTTGAGTATAATTTTACTTAAATTAGATCTTATACATGATTTTTTTTTGAGCTCAAATATAATTTGACTAGACCCAAAATATTATTATATTAATAATAATATTTTAAATTAATTTTACTTAAAGTAATTAATTTTAAATATTTTGATAATTCTACTCAAATAAGACTTTTGAATATAAAATTTTGAACTCGAACTTATTTGATTCGACTTGAAATGTTATTATATTAATAGAAATATTTTATTTAATTTTAATTAAAATATTAAAATATTAACATTAAAAGTCTTTTCATATTTTAATTTTAAATATTTTAATTTTATATATTATTAAACATAAATATTTTTAATATTTCAATAATAAATAGCATTATATTATTATTTTAATAATAAACAATAAAATATATAATAATATTTTCATTATTTTATTAATTAATGTTAAATAATATAATAATATTATTTTCTTAATATGAAAATTTGTAATAATTTCTTATTATTTTTAGTTTTAATATATAATTTTATATTTTATTTATTAAGGTAGTTTTATTATTATTTTAATAATAAATATAAATAAAAAATTTTGTTGTCATTTAATAATAAATACTTTTAATATAAAATATAAATATTTAAATAGTATAAAATATTTAATAATAAATATTACTAATTTAATTTTAATAAAAATAATATTTTAAAATATTAATACTAGGTTAAATATTTTAAAATATTAATATAAAAATAATAAATAGTTTTATTTTAAGTTTTTTATATTGATATAATATTTAATATTAAATATTATTATTAAAATATAATTATTCTTTAATATTAATAATTTTAATAATAAATAATTTCAATATACTTTAATAATAAATAATTTTTAATATTTTAATAGTTATATCAATAGTCCATGAAAAAAGAAATATGTTTTCTAGAAAACAATCAAATAATAAAAAATATTTATCATTAACTCATTTAAACAATAAACAATCTCTATTTTTTTAGAAAGCATAAATATTTTTCAAAAAACATTTTTTTAAAATAAATTTTTGCAAAACAAACAGAGCCTAAAAATAATGCTTTGATTGACAAATAATGGAATTGAGAAAACGAATAAATAGCAAATATCGGTATCATAAAGCATTCTTCATACAACTCACATGAAAAAATTAATGAAATTGTGAAAGGTTGGTACACTAGTGCTAAAGGCCAACTTCGATTGATTTGTTATAATAACAAACAATTAGCTACTTATTTGTTGTAATCACAAATAGCTCAATTGTTGTATGCATGTTCAACTTGTTAAGATAAGCTTCTAATATATCTAGTTTATATAAAACCATGTAGGTTACATCACTAGAATGATGCAAAGATTCATAATTGAGATCACTAGAAAAACTCGATTATTATTGTTAATAGGAAAGAAAAGATTGATGAAAACTTACATAATGACCCCTCATAAGATGCTATATGGATCAATGTTTCCTTATTTGACTTTAACAACTTTGAGAGCATTCATGCATTGTAAGGAAAATGTGTAAAAGATCCCAAGTCATTGACAACTCGTAAACTTCTATACATTGAATCCAATATCAAACCATGAATCCACCAACACTCAAATGTGCCAACAAAATCATAGTAGCCATCACTAACAGCATTTCCAATCTATTGATGACAAAAAAAAAAGGAAAAAAAATCGTTTGCCATTAATAAATGTTGCAACCATGTAATAAAAAATTTTCTCATCAGTAACCCATTCTTATAAAAAATCCCTTGAAATTGACAACAGGATTCTAAACCCATTTGTTTCTTTCATAAACAATTTGAGACAATTAAGAAACATAATGACTTGAAAGTAATTTACCAAAAATACAGTCCTTTTGTTTTAACTTACAGCCTTTTAAGTTCTAATTATGAAGTAAATATTACAACCAAAATTGGGATTGAAGTAACAGCTGCATAAATTTCTCCAACAATGTAGAAATCTCTATGCTTGTATTGTAGAAACCTTTCAAGCCAATTAATAAAAAAAGCATATGCATCTTTAGTTGCAAATTTACAATAGCCAGATCCTGAAAACATCTAAAGATTTCAAAATCCATTATCTTAGAATCTAAAGCAATATAATTCATGAACCAAGCATCTCTTCAAATAAGTTACTAGTTCTTATGTCACTAATTATGTATAAATTTGATGTCGTATTTGTGTATGAAAAGCCAACACCAATTAGAGATTCAAGTAAAAACATATTTGCCACTGTAGACAACAAATTTGATCGGATCTCAGTTTAAATTTTTGGGTTTTATCAAATTCACAGATCAAAGCCCAATTTCTTTTTTGAGCTCGAGCTCATTGTTATTGTTTCATTTTTTCTGTTATTCGTTAGATATT